ATAGGGCAACGACGAGTCTGGGTATTACATCTTTCCCAGGTTATTAATGTTTCCAGTGGTGTACTGTAGGGTGTTTAATATTCGTGCATTTTTATATTTTCTTTTTGTGTTATTTTTGTTTACTTTTTGTTTTATTGTTCGAAACAAATATGTGGTGCGGGATCCGGTGAACCACCCCTGGATTTTTGAGCTAGTCAGCAACCCACATACATGGCCAAGCGGAGGTTTCGTAACAGAATCATAAAGAATAGCCTGTCGATGAAAGAGAAAGACAAAGCAATTTCGGACTCATCCTTTGCTACTAGAGCAGTGAAAATGCTGACTCCACTTAGGGGTGGCCTCCGGCCGGATTCGGCGGGATTGAGCAATATCAAAATCAAGGCTTTGTTATCTTGGCGACGGATGCTTCTATCAATGCTGATTGCACTGGCTGTGCAATCTGCAACATATCTTGTGATCAAAATCTACTTTTTAAAATATCGGAAAACACCTCATCCCTCTCTGGTGAACTCCATGTCCTGGATAAAGCTATTGACTACATCATCCTTAATGGTTTTTCAACAGCCGCCATCTTCACGGATAGCAAGAATGCCTGCCTCCTTATAAGAAACAATTCATCACATAATTACATGGTTTCAAATATTTTTCGCAAAATTCACGAATCCTCTACCTCCCGGGTGGACTTCATATGGACTCCAGCTCATGTTGGTCTTCCCCTTAATGAGCTTGCTGATAAAACTGCCAAACTTGCAGCCATTGCTGGTGAGGAGATAACATCCAAGTACCTACTCTTTAAAGGACGCCTGTCGAAAGGCATACAACACAATAAGGTCTAAATGGAATGAAGAATTCAGGTCACTAGCGCAGGAAAAGGACCCAGCATTCCTAGAACTGTTCCCCAACTTGCCATCAAAACATTGGTTCAAGAACACTCACCTACGACCGGGTGAAATCAAACTGCTCAACAGACTTATAACCGGTTCCACATATAACAAAACGTATTTAAAAAGGATTGGAGCTGAGCCTTCTGACTTATGCCCCACCTGTGATGTCCTACACGATGACAACCATGTAATTTTTAACTGCTTCTTATACGACAGTATTAGGGTTAAATAACCACTCTTCTTGAAACATACCAACATACATGACTTACTTAAAGGAAAAAATCCCGACACCTATAAGGAAATGGTTAAATTTATACGCGAAGCTCAAATTCAACTTTAATATCACTCTACCTGGTTCAGCTAAGCACAAACAAAAACACACTTTTCTTTCATCAACTAACTTCTCATTTACCTTATCCACACTAAACAAATGTATCTACCTCACAACCTACCTCACCTATCATCAATTTCATCATACCAATACGGCCTTCATGCATCAATCAGCTAACATCATCTCTAACAATTTACAAATTCCTCATTTACGTTTTGTATGAATAAATTCATACCGATTAAACCAGCCCTGGCATATAAGTAATAATTTTCACTTAGCTAACTAAACAAAAAAAAACAAACAAAAAAATGGTAAAAGAGAACAAATTTGAGCAATTAAAATTATTTTCTCTTTGCCAGAACTTGCAGGTTTTAGCCAGAAAATTTTTTCCTGGCAAATAGAAAAAAAACTGTTAAATAAATTATTTGTTTAAAAAAATACATTGAAAACAAAAAATGTTTGATGTTTTTGATTTATTTTCATAAATAAGTATGTGTGATTGTAGCTTTTCAATTTTATTTTAATTTCAATAGAAATTTTTATGAATAAACTTCAATACAAATATATTGAAAGAGAAATTTTGTTTTTTCTGTTCCCGTACTTTTTATAAGTACGAAGAGAAAATTCATTAATTCTCTTTAGCCAGAAAAGTTCTGGAACAAAGCTAATAAATTATTGGAAGTAACATTAAATTCCCTTTTTTGACAATAGACACTTGTTGTTTTCTTTGCTTTTTTCTTTATAAAACACAAACACGTATATACATACTATGTATTTATTAATGTTTATATACTTTTTTCCTTTTGACACAATCACGTTAATATCAATTTACTAACCTTATTTAAATTAAGGCTTAAACAAATCTCCAACAAAAGGGCACTTATTAATTCCTTGGCAAGGAGTCTTCCTTTCATACGTTGGAGTATGTCCTTCTTAGTGTTTTATCCTCGGTTCGAAAAGAGCGTGTAATTATTCGGTTCGAAGCGACCAATGTTTCGGCGTCGATCCGATATGGTTCAGTGTAAATGCACAAAAAGAATAAAACATAATAGATAATTTATAGTTTTATAAAAGGAGAAGATTTGTCTTCCTTTATTTATATATTACCTTAAGCATGTACATATGTACATCAAGAAGCTCTCTTTAAGGCTTCTAATTGACGAGAGGTAAACAACTACTTAATTTTAAATATGGAGGCTAACAAAGTTTAAATACAGTTAGCGGTTTACTCGTTGAATTAATAATAGTTTTCCATCAAAGATGTAAACTAAAGTAGTAAATCATTAGGATTTACACTTAGAAGAAAAATACCGCAAATAATCGATTTGTACTTAAACAAGCACTAAATATAATTTCAAAAAATATATTTTTCACAAATTTTCAGGAGCTTAGTGGTAGTGAAGCTTATATTTTTAGCACTAATATTTTTTAGTGATAATTTTTTTAACTATAACTCAATTGAGTGGTAGTGTAGAAAAAAACACTACACTCAAATAGTTCAAAATTTGATCAGTCACTAACAAAAGGCTTCAATAATTTTCTTTGCACTATTTTTTTTTATGAAAATTAAAGAATTAGCAAGACAATAAATGATTCAATTTTTAAAAATATGTCTATTAAAATGGAAAATACAGATTTTCTTAGCGATGACATTATGATGGACTATGTAGTTACCCCAACAACATCTCATGCTTTAAAAATAGTTGAAACACCTAAATTCAAAAACTTTTGCCTTCTTCTGCTCAAGTATAACGATTTTTTTCTTTAGCGGAATGGTGAACTCTTCTCGGAGAAATAAATTAATTGGTCAATTTTTTATCTCGATTGCCACTTCAGCTGCGTTGCCAAAATGATGTGGTTACTGGATGTTTTTAGGCAATAGCTTGGAAACTTTGTAAATAATGAACGTTTTACTCATTAATAATATTCGTCTAATGAGTTTTTGGTTGAGTTAAGCCATTTCTATACTGACCTATATAACACATTCGTGAAATTTCAAGGGACCAAACATTTCACTTCATTTGTCGAAAGGGTGAATATTCCTCTCCTCCAATGAGTTTTTGATTGACTTAGATCAGACTTAGATTATTTAAAGACTGAAATCATTCTCTCATTTTGAAGCTAACAACCAGGGCTGCCAGATGAATTTTTGAAAAAATCGTCAATTTCCCGATAAATTTTTAAATAATCGTCATTTTGGTTTTAAGAAATCGTCAAAAAATCGGAGAATATGAAAAGCTTAAAATTTGTATAAAAAATTTAAAATATTGTAATATTTTAAAATGAAATATATTAAAAAATTTATAATATTAATACATATTTATGTAAAATTCGAAAAATACGGAATATTATTGTTCAAAATTCAATAAACATTGAGTTTTGAAGAATATTCGACAGTAATGTTAATTCTTTTCTAATGTTCTCATAATGTTTTCAATGTTCTGGCATTTTTAACATAGTGTAGTGTAGGTATAGAAACTTGTTTATCTTTTTCTTTAAATTTCTCAAAGTTTGTTGCATCACAATATTGCCTGTTTTGGTGCACAAGGAATATTTTAATCTTTTTAAGCAAAAAACTGTTTGTAAAATTTTTGAAAGTTTTCTGTAAACAAGTACTTACCCGGCAAAAAATATTCTTGATTTGGAAATAATAAATATACTGCATCTTTAACTCCTTCCTCTATTGCAACTTAAAATTATTGTCTTACAAAAAAGATTTTGGATTGCATATATTCAGCAATTATTGTTTGTGGTGTAGAAATTTGCTTCTCAACAGCTCTAAAATCACTTAGTTTTTGCATCTTTCTAAATTTTCTATTCAATTTTCAATGTTCAGTGTTGAAAAATAATATTAATTCACTGAAATCAGCGCAATTTCAACAGTATGAAATATGCACATTTTGGATTCCTTAGGCAGAGCCTGTACGAGAGGAATCCCATATAAAAATCGTATATTCTTTCATAACAAGTGCAAGCAGTAATAACTGCTCTCTGCCTTACAAATCTGCTTCCGAGGAAGCACTATTTTTTGCTGGGTAGATATAAAAAGATTAAACTTGGTGAGCTTTCTTCGTAAAATTTAGTTCTTTTACAAAACTTGTTTGTATTGGATTTAACTAATACAGTGTGAAAATTTGGTTCAGATCTGTCGATCTCTTCAAAAGTTATAAGAAATAATGTACATAGCATACACATTTACATGTAAAATATGTTTAAGCTTTGAGAGCTTAAAACTCAAAACACACTTTTTCGACTTAGAATGTTTTATAATAGCTCTTCTAGAATTTAATTTCTAGTTTTCATTATAAAATAAATTATAATTTTACAGAATTCCAAGTTTAATATTAATTTCCTTTTTTCACTGTGAAATAAGAAAAATATAAAATCTTTAATTTTTCAAAAATCGCCAGTTTGAAGGAAAAAATCGTCAAATCGTCACTTTGCTATTTTTGAAACGAAGAATCGTCAAAATGACGATAAATCGTCAGATCTATCAGCTATGCTAACAACGCAATAGAAGTTCGGCTGCTATACATAATCGACAAGTCTGTTTAGTGTTAGTTCTTTTCTCCATAGTATATTTTAAGGCATAATAAAAATGTGTTTAGTATGAAGATAAAAAGTTAATTTGAATAAACCCTTAAAATTTTATAATTTATGCAGACAGAACAGCCGAATATAGCCATTGTTGCGATTATTCGATATCGAACACGAAATCTGGTACAATTTAGCTTAATTTCGATGTCGGAATCCGTTTTCTATATAAATGATTTTTCGATCACGTATGCGGTAATTCGACCCTTGAATATTGAAGAATGAAAATAAAATCTTGGTTACATTTTAATCCTGCACAAATTTTATATGGGAAATATATTTAAAGTACTGTATATAATATTAATGTTCCATTGTGCCAATGGCTACATTAGGATCATGGACAGTAGGGTCTTGTGTTTCGCCATCTCCCGTTGGTGGCAGAGAATCATCGTCTTGAGAGCGTGAAGATATGACAGCGGCACCTCTTTCTTTAGCCATATTTAAATAAAATGTATTTTCTTCATCATCAAGTATTTTAAAGGGTTGATTGCGCCCAACAATAGCTACAGATATATTCTGAAAACAGAAATAGTTCCTTATATTTTATAAAAAAAAAAAAAAAATCCATATATTACCAACACCGCGGTCTGATTTTCTTTTACTCCTAACTCTTCATTAGGCAATGAACCGCGAATAGCTTGAATGCCATGACAAATTAATTCATCCTTACTGCAATCGGCAAATGAGTTTAAATGGCGTTCTAAATATGTGCGTGCACTTTGAGAGCGTGAACCAATAGACATAGCTTTACAATTAAAAAAGTTTGCAGATGGGACAACCTGATATATATGTGGACCCATTTCATCGTAACCAGCAACGAGCAGCCCAACACCATATGGTCTACGATCATAACGTTGTGTAGTGATTTGCATCTTATTACCAAGATTTGTGATCAACCTTGACACTGGATATGCGGCATCATAGGAGTACTTGTAATTAAGACACTCAGTGCGTAAATAGCGACTCAGTACTCTAGCATCTGCAGTGATTCCAGAAATTGATATTCCCAAATGATCATCGATTGGAATAATTTTTCTTTGTGAAGACGAGAGCTCTGATGATGCCCTCCTTAAGGCTACTAACACCGCATAGTCCTTATTTTTCAAACCTACTGTAGCTGAACCTAATTTTACTGCCTCCATGGCATACTCGACTTGATGAAGTCGTCCCTGCGGACTCCAAACGGTCACGTCACTATCGTATTGATTACGGAACTGAAATAAGTAATCATTAAAAAAAGAATAACATCTCCCTCCTTTTAAAAAAATTACCATCTTCAAAATAGTTAGAACAAGCAATGACAAACAATTTTTAATGCTAACAACCTTACATTAAATAACCAAATTACCTAAACACAAGTATGTAAGTTAACATAACATTAACAGGGTGATTCAAATATCAAATAAATAATACAAAATAGTATAAAGAGAGATGTGAAAAGTTTTATAAAGATGCCCAAAATTTTTTATTACTTTTTTATTTTTATTACTTTTATAAACATAAAATGTTCTTAATTCAAAAATTATCTTTTTTAATATAAATAGTAAGAACAAGTTTGCTTGTTTGGCATAACTTACCGACTCTTTTTTTGAGTACTCAATTAGTTAATTTTGTTTGCAAGTTTAAGCGCCCAATGGAGGTGGTTTAATCTTAAGCACGAAATGCAAAAGTGTAAACAGCTAATGCAAAAAAATTAATAAAATTTTTATAAATATAAACAATAAAATGTTCTATTTATAGATTAGTATAAATTTTGGACACTTCAAAATACATTTTTTTGTTTTTAATTTAAGTTTTCATTAATTTTCATATTAAATTTACAATTGTCTTCTTCTTTTTATAAAATATGCATTGTTTTGATAACAAACAGTGAAGTTTTCTGTTGTTTTGTATGGCAACACTGCGAAGTTTAATCTTGTACTCAAAAACATAAAAGGGGATTAACATAAGATTAAATTTATTTTTAGATTAACTAATCTGATTATTAATTGGCATTTGATTACCATCTCAAAAACCCGCTCTTAATGATTTATAATATAATCTAGAACATCTTCCACATTATCTATTTAAATTTTACATTTTATATAACATTTAAATACTTCAAACGATGTATAACTAACCCCTTAAATTAACCCATTGAGCGCCATCCGGAATATATTTGATTTTTATGCAAATTTAGGAATTTCTGTTCTTAAGATATGTCCAACATATAAACTGGATAATGGAATAGGAGATATAATGAGCTTTCTTTTGATATACATTTCCTTACCCATTCTATGCCTTACTATTATTTAATAAAAAAATTAGTTTTCAATATTTTTTGTAAAATACTTCATTTTTTACGTTTGGTTATTATATTCATATTTAAATTGGAAAATATGATTTGCTTAAACGAATTTTTAACAAAATCATAATTTTTCATTCGATATATTTATATTATGAGACCCCAGCCAATTAAAATATTTATCATTAAAATATAATTTTTAAATTATATGATGATTCATAAAACTTTAAAATTATTTCACAAAATCCCGTGATTATTCAAACCTTTTTCCACCTGCGACGCTTTTTTTAACCCATTAGTGTATCACGTTTTTGTAAGAGCACTTTTAGCTGAGAGGACATGGCGCACTATATCGCATTTAGCTTGAAAAGCTGGCCAAAAAGGCAAAAATTAATTTTCAGAAATTTTAAGTTCGATAGACAACAAAATTCTGCATTATATAGTGAATTTTCAAAACTTTCACCCAATTTACACGATGATTTTTTTCATGTTTGCCCAGACGTCTGTTTTCATGTTTGTCGATGATTGGTGGTGAGCGGGGTAGAGAAGAATGGGGGGTAAGAAAACAAACATGATTTGGGATTTTCATGATTGTTTTTGACATTCCTCTTTAAACTCATTCGTACTGTTGATATTATGCTCATGTAAAAAAATAATTATGTCTTTTTTTTTACATGAAAACATTAAAATTTGCATTAAAAAAATACTATAGCGTGTTATTAATTTTTTTAAAATCAAATTAAATGGTTTTTATGTTAAAAATTTCATTTTAGTTTTATTACGAATAAGTAATTAAAAACGATTATACAATTAAACATCAAAAAAAGACATGCATAGTTGCATGTAAAAAATTACCGTATAAATGTTCATGATTTTTTGGAAGATTCTCAAAAGAGAATTGGAAAAAACAGACGTCTGAAAAGTCTTCATGTAAATTGCGCCTTTATGTTAAGATTTGTAGTTTTGAGACGATGTCAAACACCCAATTTACACGATGATTTTTTTCATGTTTGCCCAGACGTCTGTTTTCATGTTTGTCTATGATTGGTGGTGAGCGGGTTAGAGAAGAATGGGGGGTAAGAAAACAAACATGATTTAGGATTTTCATGATTGTTTTTGAAATTCCTCTTTACACTCATTCGGACTGTTGATATTATACTCATGTAAAAAAATAATTTCGTGTTTTCTTTTAATGAAAACATTAAAATTTGCATTAAAAAAAATACTATTTATTATTTTTAATAAAACTAAATTGTTTTTATGTTAAAAATTTAATTTTATTTACACTAAACATCAAAAAAGACATGAAAAGTTGCATGTAAAAAATCACCGTATAAATGTTCATGATATTTTGGAAGATTCTCAAAAGAGAATTGGAAAAAACAGACGTCTGAAAAGTCTTAATGTAAATTGCGCCAAAGTCAGGAAAGTGAGGAAAATTAAATGCTTTTTTAGGGTTTTTTCTCATTTTAACAGGTTTATATGATATTTTTTGTGGCTAAACGAATAAATATTTTATACTAATTTTTTTATTTGAAAGCTATAATCAACTGCTATTTTTGATTTTTTTAAATATAGCTTTTATACTAATGTTAAAATAATTCGTTCAAAATTTAAAAATAATAAAAATGTCACTGTTTTTTACCAAAAAAAATTATAAGGATTTTTGAATGTATTGAATTATGTTTATTTTATTCACATGGATATTGTTTTTTTATTATGATTATGGAGTATCAAGATAGACTGAAATATTAAATTATGTTTAAGTCTTTTTAGTTAATTATAGTTTAAATATAACGTTTATTTTTTGTGAATTGTAACGCCATCTAGTGCTAAGTGGACAAGTTTGATTAAAACCACTGAGTGGTGTCGAGCAGAGATACAAGCCGATGGGAAATGATCGGCGGCGGCGGCGGCGCAACCATTTTGGGTCGGCGGCGGCGGCTTATTACAGAATATATCGGCGGCGGCTAAATTGTCGGCTCAATTTAACTTTTTCTTTAGAAATTGACCTTATAAGGTTTATTATATTGAAAAATCTTTGTATAATAGTCTGTTACATAGAAACCTGTCTCTATATAAGTTTTTTTCTGCAGAAAATGGACATTTATAGTAGTTTTCACTATTTTAATATTAGCAAAATATTGTGTGGCAACTCTTTTCAATTTGCAATAAGAATTTAAAATAGTGGCAACTCCGTTCAATTTGGTGAAATTATGTTCTGAAATACATGTGTGATTCTAATCTTTATCAGCGGCTAGGTTTAAGCCGGCTTAGCTTTTGAGCCGAAAGAAGTCGGCGGCGGCGCGGCTTGCAAAATATTACCGCCGGCCAGCCGACGCTGATTTGAGCCGTCTCGGCTTGTATCTCTGGTACAAAACATATGTTTATAAAAAGTTCAGTGTACCATACATGTGTGGCTGTAGGTGTATATATAATGTTGCATGTCAGTGTGACCATTTTAGCATTTTTGCAGCTAGATTTAGCATTTTTTATTTTGTTTTAGTTGTAAAATTTTAATTTAGCAATTGGCATTTTATTTAGCATTTTTATAAAATATTTTTAGCACATTTAGCTTTTTTGCAATTTTAGTATCTAAACAAAAAATTAAATTTATATTGGAAATAGGTTTAACCGAGAAAAATCAGAATTAAATGTCTACCAAACACAAGCAACAAGAAATATGAGAAATGTTATAATTTACACTGTGATTCAAAATAAAGCAAAGAGATTCATGAAGATAAATAACTTAAAAATTACGCCAATACAAGTGAATACTTTAAAATGTTGTATTCTAAAATATTTTTCTGGAACCCAATGCTTTTTTAAATTCGAGGTGATAGAAATAATTCAAGAGAGTTCATATATTTTTACATATACGTTCAGTATTTTAAATATATATATCTATATATATATATATATATATAAATAAAGCTATTTTACAAACTAATACCTATTGTTTTCTCATGGAATGAAACATGTAATTTTGGAAAAAGCTATGTATGATGGTTAATTAACAAATTTTATTTTTTTCCTTAATAGCCTGGGGTTCCTCCAGGAACCAACCAACAAAAATTAAGTTTTCTGTTATTTGAATATTGTTAACTTCATGTTATGACTTTTAAAATGTTTTTAATTGCAAGCGGCACTAATTCTTTGTTCGGTATTGGAGTAAAGTTTCACATGACTTGTCCAGGTTTAAAAGTGTATGATTACCTCAAAAAAATTTCTTTTGTGATATCGTGCACATTTGACAAAACGTTTTAGTTGTAAATTTATAATTTTTTTAACAGAAGAAATTATTTTACGTTTCATTGCCTAATATCATTGTAATAATAAGTATTTGAAGTGATTTTACTTCTGGCTGGTTTTTTAAGGGACCACCAGGCACCCAGACTTCAAAATTTATACTATATCAGATTATAAAAATCGATATTTTTGGGATGTTTTTTGATTGATTAATTTCAAAATGAAGCATAGCATTTGCGCTAGAAGTCTGTTTTTGCTTGATGAAATCTTGTGCTAAAATTCGAGTGGGAAAAGATCGACCAAATATCCTTGGGGTTGAATATGTTTCAAAACGTCTGTTCATTGCCAACTAGAGATATTCACCGAGATCACATGATACACTTACCAAAATTTATAATATAAGACAAACCACCATGAAAAAAATCCAAATTATTCATCCCAAACAAAACTTCGATGTCTGTTTTTCATCAGTAAAGCTTGGTATTCTGTTCAAAATTTCACGTGAAACTTTTAAAAATTTCATACAAAAAAAAAAAAAAAATTTAATGAAAATTTTATGGAAAAATGTTGCTGATTTAGTACTCTGTTTGTATTGTTGAAAAACATGTGAAATGTTTCTAACAACATTTCAGCACAATTTTTTTCAATTGTATGAAATAATATAAACTCTAGTTAGTTCACGTGAAATTTTAAATAAAAGTTTATTAACAAGTCTTTAATTATTGGAGACCATGTGTCGTCCAATACACAATTTAAATACAATTTTCATTCATAAAAAGT